TTCAGAGTGCCCCTCCTCTGACTCCTTGCTAATTGACGAGGATGTGTATTCCTCCTTAATATAGAGTGCCACACCCCCACCTCTCTTTCCTATCCTGTCCCTCCTGTACAGCCTATAGCTCTTGACATTCACCGCCCAGTCATGCGTTGAGTCCCATCACGTTTCCGTGATCCCCACTATGTGCGGGCTGGTGTCAGCCAGCAGGAGGGTCAGTTCCTCCTGCTTGTTACCCATACTACGAGCATTTGTGTAGAGGCATTTGAGGCCTCCTGTGGATGTGTGTACTGACCCCCTAGTCTCAGCGTTGCCCTGGCCCCTATCGCTTACCTGTTTATTCGCTTCCTGATCTACTCAGGTCCCTTCCAACCCTAGAAACTATGAAACTATGAACCATGCAGCTCATGTTTTATCTAACCTGTACATTTAAATCTAAGAAAACCATTAACATGTCAGTAAGTTCACATCAGGTTTTCTTTATTCATAAATCCAAATACTCATTCTGCTTACTTGATAAAGGACAGAGTAGTTGCTCTGAGGAGTAAGCTCACTTCTTACAAATGAAGGTTTGGAGTAAGTTTTCTCAGAGGACAGTTTTCCCTGGACCTTCCTCTGATGCAGTTGTTCCAAGCCAGTATTTGAGGTCTCTTTACAGGAAACCACCAAGGTACATGCATGAGATAGAGTCAGTCATCTACAGGCAGCAATAAAGGCAATGGTTCATTCAAAGCAAACCTCAGGTGTGGACACATGCCTTTTGTTACCTCAGATACTCACATTATGATATTTGAAAGAGAAGATTGATGTGTATAGCTAGAGTGCATGCAAATGAAAGAGAGTGGGTGTAAATAAATAGTGATTTTATATTTTGTTCTGTTTAATTTTACCATTTCAGAGGGAACCTTAAACCATTAATTAACACACCTTACAAATCAGGACCACCATGTGGAGACTGTCCTAATGCCTGTGATAATGGACTATGCAGTAAGTTTTGAAAGTTCAGCATCTCAAAGTGGAAAAGTCACTGTTTACTAGCACAGTGTTTAATTCCCATGACCGGAGGGTGTTTTGAAATTGTCAACTCCAAAAGCAGATGCAAAAGGCCAGGCTGTGAGCTCATTGCACATGACATGTAGGATCTCATATCCTTATCGTTGTGATTTCTTATTTGCGTGATGTTAGAAGTTACATGATAGACCAGTGTGCTAAGTCATAGACAAATAGCAGGACTAGCCGCATTTAAATCAATGGAGCATTCGATGGGCAAAGAAAGGAGGTATAAGTTTGTGAAAATGTTAAAGTGAACTACGAAGGCAAAATCTATGGGATGAGCATGCAAGGCATCTTCTACTTCATCTCCTCTCACAAGTGTGCAATAAAGTTATTAATTCAGCCCACATGTTCCATGGATACTTTATGTATCTCTTCATTATGGATACGAGCCCTTCAGTTCATAGAAAGGCTGGTTCTCAATCTATGGAAAATTCACTTATGATGGCAAAATCTCCTGCAAGTAGATTCACTGGCATCAATGAAACTAATGGCATGTTTGCATCCCTTCCCTAGGAGTGTATCCAAGAAGTTCATGAGGCTTTCTGTCTTCCTCAGAAAGCATCGTGAACTTCTTTTCCATTGTCCTACATGGTAGATTGTTGCAGACATTTGATAGCAACCAAAGCTGCTTATACTCCTCAACTAATGGTTATATAGTGTATTTAAAAACATGTGCTTATAATGTATTGTCTTAAAGTATTTTCCAAAAGCATAAAGGGTAAGACTGTGGGTTTAGATCTACTAAGGAAGTTAGGAGCACCCATAGAAATTGTATCTGAGGATCAGTGAAGGTTTTATAACATCCTTTCAACATGCAGAAAGAGAGAGAAACAGGGAAATCAAGTGCAGCCATTGCCCAGTTCTCCCTTAAGCCCCTCCACATTGCTGCTGCATCCAAGGGTGCTGTGAGATCCTGTTAAGGGTGCTGCAGCATGCTGCACTGTTAGGTGTGCAAGCACCTACATGACATGACAAATAGATCCAAAGAGGTGATACTTCCCCTCTGTGCAGCGTTAGTCAGACCACAGTTGGAGTACTGTGTCCAGTTTTGGGCACTGCACTTCAAGAAAGATGTTGATAGACTCGAGAGGGTCCAGAGGAAGCCACTCATATGGTCACGGGCTGACAAGACAAGCCTTATGAGGAGAGACCAAAGGACTGGGACCTCTTCAGCCTCCACAAGAGAAGGCTAAGAGATGACCTTGTGGCCATCTATGAATTAATTGGGGGACTCAGCAAGGGATCAGAGATGCTCTGTTCACCAGGGCACCTCTTGGGGTAAGAAGGAGGGGGCTGGACTGGATGATCTTCCAAGGTCCCTTCCAGCCCTAATGTCCATGAAATGTCTATGTCTATGAAATCTCTTGAGGTCCCTTCCAACCCTAGCATCTCTGAATCTATGAATCTATGATTCACACAATAAACCCAGAGATTTCAAATAGCGATCTGTAGTGTCAAAAACATTCTGACCTGTTGTGATCTGTCTTAGCTCTTGGTAAAGGAAAAAATTACTCTATTATTTTTTCCATAATCAAGAAAGCTAAGAAACAACATTTTCCAAGTGATATCCTGAGTCTAAAAAGGTGGGAACACTGCTCTACATTCACAACAAGCCACTGAACTCCGAGACTATAAATTTCAGTTAAGTGTAGAGGGCCAGTACAAACCCAGTACCCCACTAAAGTCGCCTAAAATCAGTGATGGATTTCATGTGCCACAAGCCGCCTACAGTGTGACCCTGCCCACAGGGGTGAGTTTTGCCCCTTGCTCTACATGAGAGGGTGCAAGGGTGGGCAAAAATGTAAAAGAAGCACACCAACTACCCCATGTCACCTTCCTCCCTTTCATGGTTTAGAATGACCAGGTAGGTTATAGGATTATAGGGAAGTAGGGCTAAAAAGGACATCACAAGGTCATGTAGTCCAACCCCTTGTTCAAGGCAGGATCATTCCTCACTAAACCATCCTAGCCAAGTGTCTATCTAATCTAATATAATGATCCTGTCAACAGGATAAATTAGACTGGTAAATCTGGCTGGTTTATCCTTGCACTGAAGAGTCTAATAGGAAATAAAAGGACAACACTGCAGTCTTGGGTCATTCCAATAATCCTTGCCTCAAAATCTGACTTTCCCATGTTGCAATTGCTTTCATTTAATAGGGGAGGAGGGTCTTTCACTTCTAGTGGCAACAGCTTGTGGACCAACTGAATAATACTTCTGAGTGCAATTAGACTTTTTGAACACTATGGGGAAGAATAAAATCATTCAGGGAAACTTGCATAAAAGAAAATAGTTTGGGATTTTTTTTCTCTTAATAATGTCTAACTTAAATTTTATGTCATTTTTAGCCAATCCTTGCAAGTATGAAGATAAGTACTTAAATTGTCCAGAACTGGCAAAGTTACCTGGATGCAACAAGGATATAGTGAAGGACAACTGTCGTGCTTCCTGCCAATGCACCACTGAAATCAAATAACCAGTTTGATTCATGCATTTAAGATAATTAAGCCACTGACGACAGTGATTTTTACAAAGCTGAAGTCCATCTACCAGCTTTTATGAATGCAGCCTTTCTGATTTTCAGGGGTAACTCACATGACTAAAGGCTGAGGATATAGGCTTTCACTTACATATTCTACCTTGATTACATTTCTTTCTTGAAAAAATGTAGCATATAGTTGTTACTTGGCTGAAATTGGACATGGTACAAACTAGGCTTTTATAACATTTGGTGACCAGGATTTTCTATTAATTTCAACATCATCTTCTGCAAAATACCATTTTAAATGCTATATAAAGGACTGTCCTGCAAAGATACACTTGTCTAGGTCTTGTTCCTCCTAGTAATGCCATTGATTTCAGTAGCTGAGGTACTACCATCTTCATTCACATTGAAAATCAACTTTCTCCCCAAAAGCTTCTTCTACACATTCACATTTACTGTGCAGTAACCAAAATGACTGCACAGTGCAGGCACACATCTACACATGTGTGCTAATACTGGACGCTAAATATGGTGACATGCTGACTTGAGCATACATTTGATACCTGTGTCATGCAGGTATCAAATTTGCGCCCGGTTACTTACTGCGAGGTAATGCACGTGTAGATGCCTTACTGTGTGGGCTTACTTAAGACTAAAGTTAGTTGTCAGACTAACTTTAGTCCCATGTCAGTCCACACACAGCATTAATGCACTTGAATGCCTGCCTGTGTAGATACCAGCCTATTCCTGCGCACTGCGCAATAACTCAGTACGCAGTATATTTAAGCAAGCATAAATGTAGACATACCCAAATAGTCCCAAATAGATGCCATAGGACAAATCCAAGCCGTAAGGGTCTACTTAGTGGGTGCATCTACATGAGACATTTTCTGCAATTGCCTAATTAGCTCTGCCATAAACATCTTGCATGTACATGTGCAGTACGATTAGGACACAGGAACCTAATAAATTCCACAGCAGGGTAGTACTTGTAAATACAAGTACTAACCTACTGAGGAATTATCTACTACGCAGCAACACATGTGTAGGCACTGACCTGGGAGTAAATTACTATCAGCCCAGCTAGCAGGGGGCCACACTCATTCCTATTCCTTAGCCATATGGCTTGGCAATTGCAGGAGCTTTGTGGCCCAGTCAGCTGCTCTGCCCCTGATGCAGTCACCCACCACTCAGGCCTGACCCTTGTGCTTCCCTGCCAGCCTGTGGCTGCCCCCCAGACCTCAGGCCATGCTGCACCCAGGAGTAGCTTACTGTGGAGCCATTTGCCCCACAGTTTATTCAATCCCATTAACTGCACATGTAGATGCGCCCAGTGGGAATAAAAGTAGCAGAACTGTTCCCACCAGCACTACTTAGAAATAAAGCCTGCCCCTTTTTTCTCACATCCACTGTTACCTTATTCTGCAAATAGCATCAGTGTCCTCACAGTGAGTTAAGGCAACAGAATGTGACCCATTGAAATCAATGGATTTATTCATGGGTGAGGAACCTCCTGATCGTGAGAAAGAATAAAAAAAATCTGGCTCTCCGTAAAAGGAAAAAAAACTGTTGGAGAAGAGGGCTCAGTGAACCTATTTATGTTGCTAACTAGTACTAAAGAACATAGGAATCATGGAACAGGGCCTAAATAAGGATAATTGTTTTAATGAGAAACGGTGAGCTATTGTCTGAATTACTTTTCAAATATTTCCCATGTCTGTTTTACTGATTAAACTATATTTTCAATGCTAAACAGTTTGCATTGGCTTTCTTTCATAGTGATATACTTAACATATCTCCTCTCCAGCTTCCACAGCGTAAGTCCTTATAAGAGTTCTTTGTCCTGCTAGCTTCAGTGCTGCAAGCAAGCACTTGACCAATATCCTGGAAAACAATGCAGAAAGCTCATGCAATTTAGGTATATTTTGAAAAGGGGACATGTCTCTGATAGAAAAAGATACCCCATATTATTTAAAGTGACAACAATTTCATGAGAAATGCATGTAGCCTTCTTTGCTTATTTTCAAATTCAGTCAGGCACACACTTTGGACCCTTCCAATTCCCTCCAACCAGAGCAGCACATCTGTGGGGAGTGGTCACACTTTAATGGAGCTGAGTTATGCAGATGAAGAGATAATCCTTCCCTAGGGTGTGGGCTTCTCTCTGACTGATGAGTCTCCTGCCTTGATAATTCTTTTAATAGAATGAGCAGTGGCTTGAACTCTGCAATCAGGCTGGCATCAGCACACAACACAGCTTTTCATCTGTAGCACATGCTGTGCAAGTGTTTGACTGTATCCCATCTGCAAAAATAAAGAGCATAACTATCTGTCTGTCTGTCTTCCATAAGCATGCATCTCCTTTTCCCATAGCATTTGAGTACAGCAGAGTTAGTAATGTATTTATTTGTGTACCCTCTCAGGTAGGGAACCGCTATTATCCACAATTTGCTGTTGAGGAATAGAAGCACATAGATTCCAGATCCTCAGAACCCCGAAGTGCCTCAAATGGGACATAGTTAGGATATAGGGACTTCAAGCCAAGGGTGTGACCCTCAGAAGTCTATCTAGCCCCTTGGACAGCTATGTACATCTAGGATGCATGCATTTCAACCTGTAAAGTTCTCTAGGTGCCCACACTTCTGTTTCTGGACATGCCATGAATTGCTACCATTTTGCTGGATCTGAGCTACTCAGCACCTCTTCCCTAAGCCTGTTTAGGATCCTCATACAAGGTTTCCACATACCAACCTTCTCTCAAATCACCCAAGAGGTCTAATCCACCCAACATTGGGCCTCAGTGCACTTTGCCATTGGTAGCAGGATGCAAACAAGGGCTGTGCCCAACCCACCACAACTTGTCCCACAACTCTTTGCACTGCCTGGCCTCTGGTTGCTTGCACCGCTGTAGCCACAGTAGTCACTGCCAAAAGGGATCCATCAGGGATACAGTGGCATTGTCTCTTCCTCCCTTCCCACAGTGTACCTCAGTGACTTCCTCAGAACTACTATTAGGACAAAGGGAAAAACTTGCCATGGAAGTTGTAGCATCTGCTTCATTGGAGGTTTTTTAGGAAGAGGCTGAATAGGCATCTGTGTAGGATGGTTTAGGAATAGTGCACCCTGCAACTGTGCAGGGAATTAGATTAGTTGATCTTTGAAGTTACATCTTGGTTTTGCAATTCAAAGTCCCTTACATGGCAATTTCTGGCAGAGTTGGGGGTTGGGCTTCGTAGCTGACAACAACAAGGAGCTGTCTGCTCTCCAGAATTTAAATTATGCATATTCATTAGGGCTGTGCGAAATTTTGCTGGCTGTTTCATTTTGACACTGTTTCAACTCATTTTGAGGTTGAAATAGCAAAATCGAAATGAAACAAACAGCTTTGAAACAAAATGCGGCTAGTCGAATTGTTTCAAAAGTTGAAACATTTCAACCGCAGCGCTGGGGGTGGAAGTCAGTCCAGCTGGTCTGACTTCCCATCTCCCGCACTAGATCTGGCTGGGGGTGGGGGTCCCCATGCTAGAACCCCAGCGCTAGATCAGGCTGACTCCCCACCCCCCTCCTGATCTAGCTCTGGTGATGGGAAGTCAGTCCAGCTAGGCAGATCTAGCGAACTGTCAAAACAGAGTTGAAACAGCCTCACTGTTTCGACGAAGCACAACAGAACAGCTCTTTTGAATCTAAATGAAATTCAATACAAAACACTGTTTCGTTGAAACCTCTAAACTTAAGGCAAAATGAAACGGTGCCATTTCGCACAGCCCTAATGTTCATCTGTGTCGGCTAGAAATCAGTCATCCTCCCTTCTTGGGGGCAGTGATTGTGGTGGATACAGCCAGGAAGAAGGTCCCTGGCACACTATCACTCCCACTGACAGGGAGTTGGAGTGGCTGGATAGGAGAAATGCCAATGAAAAGATGTATGGCATAGGAACAAAAGGGCCCTCATGGATTTTCGGCCATCATAAGGGATCTACTAACTGTAGGAATTACATCTCCAATGCTTTCCAGTAGGGGAGGCTTACCCTACCTCAGTCTAGGGGAGAAGAGGGTAAGGAAGAAGACACTGTACATGAAAACAAAGGAAGTTTCTAAAGAGGAAGAGAATAGGGCGTTGAGCACACAGGCCCCCAGTACTGCCAGCACACACAGAATCAAAGGGTTGCTCATGATAGTAAAGTGTGAGTAGGATCAAGGCTTTTTTTTAGTAAGGCTTAAATGCTTCACCAGCTCACATCCATCCATGTAAGCCCATGGATGCTAATATATACTTTTGAGCATCTGGCATGAAGTGTATATGATAGTGGAGCTGTGCAGGAATTTCAACATATAAAGTGCAGGAACAAAAGCCCCTTGCATAGCAAAGTAGTTAAATATTTCTTGGGAGAGAACAGAATTGTAGTTAAACCCCAAACCAAGGACGACATAACAGGATGTGAAATGTCAAAACAGATTTCCTATATATACCCTAACAATACAGGCATCCTTCAACTTTCACCTTTTCCTGGGACATAAAGAAGGGATTTTTTTATTATCTCTCTAACAATCAATTATCACTAATGTATGGTCTATGATATTTATTTTAATAGTAAGGATACAGTTACAACAGACATAATAATGCATATTTAATTTAATGTCCATATTTTTTAGTGAGTCAATAGCTTTTTTCTTTATTCATGCCAAAAAGGAGCTATTAGCATTCTGATAATGCAGAAATATGAACCTTAGAAATTTTGCCAATACTCTCACGGATAAGGATGCATGACTACATTGGTCACGGTACTGCTATCACTGTTATGAATACTGTTTGCAGGTTCTGAAGGGTCAGGGTCAAATTTTGAAGTAGGAGTTAGGAAATGTGGGTACAAATTCCAGTTTTGCCCCAGATTTCATGAACTGAGTTTGTCATATCACTTAGGGCTGAATTCTCCTTCACCTTCACGTGCCTAGGAGGCACTGATGTAGCCACATCAGTGCAATTTTTACCACTTGATACAGATCTAGGCATAGCTATACCTATGTTTTACTATGAGTATGCTTAATTGGGCTTCTCTCATTTTCTTTCCCTGCGCCTTCCTTTCTGCCACATGTCAGGATGTTTTTAAGCCTTCCTCAGAGGCATTGGGTGTTGGCTACAACCAAGGCTAGGGATTTAACTGGGGTGTACAATGCTTTTGCTGGGACTAAAGCCAGAATTTCCTGGCTGGAGCGTCTTGCCTGTCTGCTAATGGTCAGACAATCACCATATTTGGGGTCAGGAAGGAATTTTACCCACTGATCAGTTTGGTACGGATTGGGCGGGGGTTTGCCTTCCTCTGTAGCCAGGGCCTGGCCATCCACTGGAGATCTCTAGAGTATATACTGGCAACTGTTTATATAAGCAGGAGACTGGCTGCTGCAGTTCCCCTG